ATACATATAAATGTAGTTTAGCAGGACATTCAAACCGACCCCTTAAGCTTTCGAGCCGCTATTCCTTGCATACCCTTATTTATGCCACTGGTTTCTTGACTTCATCCCTCCACAAGTCTGGGTCAAACAATCAGCTCATGTTTCACTTTGACACTGGAATAATGTTGGCAGCTTTCTAGGCAGAGTGTTCTAGACAGGATGTTGTCATTTCCATGATTTTTTCCAATGATGGATAGTGATATCATATTCCTGCAGTCTCTGTATCAATCTGGCTATATCACCTTAGGGATTGTTGAAATTTAAGACCTAGGTTAATGATACATTATCTGTGCAGAGCATGAATATTTTGGTGGAAATGATCTATGGCTTTAACTATAGTAAGCGACTCTTTCCTGTTGACACAGTAATTCCTCTCTGGTTTAGATAGACACTGCAGTATGCCACAACACATTCTCGACTGTTTATATCTTGGGACAAAACAGCACCAACACTCACATCCATATCTAGTAGAATAAATGGCTTGTTAAGCTAGGGATACGTCAGGATTGTCGCAGATGTTAAAGCCTCCTTCAATCTCTTAAATGCATCCTCAGATTCTTTTGCCCACAAGAATGTTTGCTTGTTCACTGTCAGTTTCTCAAGGGTCTTGCAATTAAAGAAAAATTCTTCATGAATCTCTTATAGTCGGTGCAAAGCCCCAGGACACTTCTCAGCTGATTGACATTTTCAAAGCATTGCTGATCTTTAACTGCAGGCACTTTTTCTGATTCCGTACACACAGCTTCATACACACAACACCACACTTTCTGAATCCGTATGCACACTTCCAATTTATATTTGATAGGACTTAATTTTAAATTGACTTCCTTCAATTTCTAAAGCACCTTCCTAATATTTCCTACATGCTTTTCAAAACTTTTCCGGACAATGATGATATCATCAAAGTATATCATACAGGCGTCATAGGAAAGATCTCTCTACATAGCCTCCATGAAGCATTCGAATGCTGCTGGCACACTGCATAATCCAAATTGCATCATCTTGCACTGCCAAAGTTCTTGATCGGCAGTAAATGTCTTCTTGGTCATCCGGGTTTTTCTCTACCTGCCAATATCAGCTCTTTAAATCAAACATTGAAAATCATTTGCTTCCAGAAAGAGTGCCCAGAATGTTGTCAGTTCGAGGAAGAGGGTACCTGTCTTTCTTTATGATGTCATTCCAATGGTGGTAGTCAATGCAAAATCTAGTTGAACAATCCTTCTTTTTGGTGACGAAGATGGGAGAAGTCCAAGGTCTTCATAACATCTGAAGGCTTTGTAACATCGCTATCTTGCATAACCTTTAGAAGTTTTCCGACCTCTTCCTGCTTAGCAATTGATAGACATCTTGGATGTTGCTTGATTGGTAGATGATGCCCCATACGAATTTTACACTGTGCCAAACTGGTTCGACTTACATCAGAAGACAAGCAGGAGAAAACATTTTAAAATTTCTGAATAGCCCATTCCGCAGTACTCCTCTCCTCATAATTTAGTTGTTCATTCTGCAATAACTACGATGTTATGCTCTCTGAAGACACAAGAGACTGGAGGATTACTGGTTCATTTAACTCAGGCCACTGCAGTACATGCAACCACTTCACCTTTCCTAATTACCTTCTTCTTATTGCTTACGTTAGCATCTCTCAGCAGGATGACTGTCCTTGATAGCTCGATGACTGCTGAGCCTATTAGTACTCCTTTCGGGCTGTTACAATTCTTAGAATACTCCATTATGGAAATGGAATTTTCTGTTTTCAGGTATGGATCCAAGTAGCAAAAATTCTGTTCTTTTTGCTACTGTTTTATCGTCTTCAGCTATTATTTGGTGAACAGATTTAACTCCTTCATCTTTTATTCCAAATATGGTTATATCCGCAGACATAGAACACATTTTTTATTTTTATAGACCAAGGGAAAATTATATTTCCTTAAAAAAGTCTGATTAAAGTATAAAAGGGCCCGTAATATCTGCTACATATGCCATGTGATGATAGATAGCACTCTCGAATGTGATGTTAACGTTTAACTTTCCATTGATGTTTATTTTATTATCAGACACAGTGAAGATAAGTTTACCTTCTTATTTTATTATCAGACACAGTCCAGATGAGTTTACCTTCTACTCTTTAAGCCAGACGTCTTTGGATGGTAACATGGCTCCTTTATCATACTGCATAGTCATACTGCAAGAAACTCCATTTATACGTCCCATGATGAAAAACCTAATTATTGTAGTCACCATTGGAGAAATCTGAAGCCCTTTAAAATGGAGCTTTTCAGTATCTGGCAACCTCCGCCCCACATGATGGCCACTAATTAGTTTCCCTGCTTTTTGTTGGGAGCAGTCTTAGCTACTCTGACTTAAGTTGTTCTGCAGTTCCTTCATATGTAGCCTTTAAACCACAGTTCCAGCACTAAACAGTCAGTCTGTTACCACTCCTGTTCTGCCTCAAGGCATTGACTTGCCTGGTTAAATTGTTTAAACAAGCAGTCACTTGATTTACTGGCTTCTAGAGTTGAGCAGCTGTGATTGGATGGTAGTCTCTATGAGTTTCTTGCTGGGCTGCCTCAAATTTCATTGCATACACTATAGTGCTTTTTAAATCCTTGACACATGCCATTCACAGGGCTTTCTGTATCTCAGGATCCCAGATACCAATGATGAAGTACTGCAGAGACAGGATTTCCCAGATTTCCCTTGTTTCTGATGGGCAGTCCAAAAAGCCAAAATGAGAGAGCCTTTCACAACATATGTAGTGAGCTCCTGAAGTTTTTCCATGGGCTCTGTTGGCGAGATTTTAACAGAAGCCTGCTACAATCTTTTAGACACTTCCTGCCATAAAGCAGCTCCAACAAGCCAGATAGAGCTTTGAAATCTATCCTCTGGTTTTCGGGAAGATTTTGAAGGATATCCGCTCTTAACAGAAGATGGCAGACTTTAGTTTCGGAATCCCATCCATTTGCCACTATGCATCTTGTACACCTGCCAAAATATGTGGATAGCTTTAGAGAGGGTTGGGAAGATATATGTTCGAATTTAAAGGTGTTAGTATTATGACCAGCTGCCATTGTGGATTTTTTAAACTTTCAACTTCTTTGGCAACAACAATAGAAACTCTGTCATCGGTCTATTGCTCAACAGTTGAAACTCTTTGTTTTGTTGTTTGACAACAGACACTCTTTTTTGAATTTCTCCAACTTTATCTTTAACTGCATCTATTCTGCCTTCCATAACCTCGAGTTTGTTCTCATTTTCTGTTATAGCAGTAATTTCTTTTTATTTCCTCTTGATCTGCTTCAATCTTTTCTTGAACTGACTTGACGGCCCCTTTCATCATTTGTTAGTCCGCCTTCATCTCTTCTTGTCCTGCTTCCATCTTCTTTTTTTAACCATTTTTATATCTTCCTTAATGGAGTTGAAGGCCCCCTTCCATCTTTTGTTGGAATGCAGCAAAGACTGTCATCAGCTGTCTCAGTTTCTTCTCCATCACTGTTGCACTGGCATTTAGTCCCACTTCTGACACCAAAATTTGTCGCATGCATTTTCATAATGGATTGAATGCACATAGATAGTTTGATATAATTTATTTTAACAAAAGAAACACTAACAGTTCTGGAACTTTCCATTCATAAAGCTCTTCTCATTAAGACAGAGCACAATCAGTACTTACCACTTTAAACTACTAAGAACGTTAAACACAAGACAATGTAAAGTACATCTAAATAGTGAAGATCACATAGAGATCTCTTATTACTCCAAAGTCAACTCTGAACTAAGAACAGTGAGAACTCATGCTCTCTCCAGTTCTATATAGTTCCCACCCCCTGGCCACTGAGAAATTTCTAATAGCTTCCATTTAGCAAAATTACAGGAAGCTATATGCAGTTACAGTTATATACTATAGCGGCCATATACAATCACAGGTTCATAGGCATTAAGGCCAATTACAGTTATACAGGGACTGGACACAAAATGTCGCCAAGTTTAGCAACGTTAGGTGATAAAAATTAATCACCAAAACCATTGCCATTTTAGCAATATCTCGCCAATTTATCAAGACAGCCATTTACCTCAACGTCAAATAGATTTGCCTTTGTAATCTTTATTTTTCTGGCCAAGCATCGCATTCTTGAGAACATTCATGTTACATTATATAAAATTCATAAAAATACTGTAATTATGCTTTTACCTATTTATAAAAAGAGTCTACAAGGGAAGCATGGGTTACATACATATTTCCAGGTATATAACATAAAGCATAAACTACTGAAAACCACTAAACCATTTTTTACTAGTTTGGACTGAAATTTAATGTTTGGATTTTTGAAGTATAGCATCTATCAAAACATTTTGAATAAAGAAAGTATTCTTGGCATTGTGGCAACAGTTTTGAGCAGAAACTTCCTAGTTTTAGCCTAAGAGTGTACTCATTCATGACATAAAATCTCCAGTTCAGTAAACTGCGGTCACACAAGTGGATGATTTTGCTTACTTAGTCTTTTTATATCAACAAGTACATGGATAACATTAAATTTGATTACTTAAAAGTAGTTGTAGAAAAGAAAAATTTCATTCCAAAAAAAAAAAAAAAAAAAAAAAAAATAATTAACAAAATGGCTGATTCATTTATTGAAAATTTGTATTACAAATTGAAAATAGCATATATCTACCATTTTAATATTTCAAAACACTTTCATTTTGAGATGTGATATGGCAAAACTGTTACTAAAGCTACTGAAATATCTGCAAAGTTTCTCAGTTTTAACAACACTCTAGGGAAATAATATTAGGAAAACAGTACTCATTTAAAACTACCCTATCATTAAAAGAAGATATATCCCTGTTCTAGAGTAAATGAGTTGAACTGTCATTTTGTACTAAAATTGATTACTGTATGCAGGTCCACAGTATTTTTAGACTTAAGTAAAAACTATATTTAATAAAATATCTTTTCTTACCTCTCACAATGATTGCATTTGTCTAGAAACATATTTCCATGTAGCTCAGCTAATTTATCAGGTGGAAAATTAGATTTTAAATGTAAACCATCAACATTTTGACTGATTAAGAAATGTATAAATCCATTATTTAATAAAGCAACTAATGCCATATGTGTCACTGTAGGCTTGGCTTCGTTGAATGATACATTAATATTTGGTTTAGTTCCCTGCTTTTCCAAAGTCCATACTCCTTTCGGTCCTCTATTAAAATAATTAAAAGAAATATTAATTTAAATAACATAATTTAAATCATGATATTATAATAATTTAACTTTTTGTAGATAAATACTGCTTAAAGGAAAACTTTGTATTATAAATCTCACTATGTATTAAAAGTTTTTCACATATTATTTTAGTAAACATTCTTACACTGAAAATAATTACAATGTGGTCATAATTTCTTTACATTCATTAATTCAAAATTACGTATTCAGAATTCATTCAAAATTATACATACATTATGAAATTATACAGGTTATCCATAAATTCAATTCTGTAAGTTAACTTTCTTTGATTTATGAAATCTGTTTCAGCAAAGAATGAAAATATGCACATGGGATGGGTAGTTCAACAGAATATTTTAAGAAAAATACTTTCTATTTTGAGTATTTCACACTATCTGTAGAGAAATGATAAAAATACTGCATAGCACATTTCACAGACTGACATCAACTATGAAATCTGCCCGTGGTTAAGATTTTATCTAGTTTGTTACAGGTACGACAGTTAAATCCTTAAGCCTCTATGGACAGCTTATGAAGTTTTTTCCATGCATTGTTTATTTTGTTCGTGTATTGTATCAAAGACTGTCATTTTTAATTTTTGATTTTAATTTTTCTCTTCACGAAATACCTACCTTAATAAACAATTTCACTTTGCAAGTGAAGTTCTTCCAACAACACACAAATCTTACATACTTCGGCTAAAATTCAAAAATTAACTTTAGAAACAAAAGCAGAACAATATAAAAAGGGAAGATACAAATTAAATACCATAGAACCTCCATTATTCTGAATAATCTGTGTTTGAACATATACCACAATTGAGAAGGTATGGTCTCACAGACTGCTAATCCTGTCACCTCTATTTTTATCTCAATTGAACAGATTCATCCTGTAGTTTCTCCTTTTGTGACCTTGATTGGATAGAGCAATTTTCTCGAAATTTTGGCATCTGCTTTTTTATTTACATTTCAGTGGAGGAAGATAGACCACATCTAACTCCGCTGAAACATGGTCTTTGGAATACTATGCAACCTTCTGTTAACGGTATTTTTAAAAAAAATATATTTTCCCGAGTGGCAACCACAGAGTATTTTTGAACGGAAATGTTTTTCTGAAGCGCGCATAGTAATTTGTATTTTCAGTTGTATCGTCTCAGTGATATGTAAGTAATGCGAGAATAAAGATTTATTAACATAAGTGACTATTTCTGAAAGAAAGTAAGTTAAGCTAACATTTCAGAAGTGGTATTAACTAGAATTATTACCTAGGATTTAACAACGTATTGCCTTAATGTACGTTAAGCCTAAACTGAATGCAGAAGCTCGCCAAAACTGAAGGTAGAAAGGTACATGCATTTATAAACTGTTTATATTATGTAAGTATTAAACTGAAAGCGCTTAAGTATATTTATGTGCTATTATTTGAAAATTGAAGTCTAAGATGGCTTATTTGGCAAGGGGCAAGAAATGTGACTTAAAAGAACTTGCCTTCGAACTTGATGTAGATGGCCCTTCTGATATTAAAATTGTAGGTTTAACTGATATGATTTTGAATAGTAAGAACTATAAGAAAGACTTGTATTACAAATGCTAGATAGAATTAAGAAATAGATAGAAATTTTTTCGTTTTCAATAACCTCTGTTACTTTCTTCGCTACTGGAAGTGAATTATAATGACGAGGAATTTGATTTAAATTATATCAAAGACGGAGTACATTGAGATGAAATACTACATTTAGTAAGGAATTATAAGCCAAACAAAATAAAAACATCTGCCCTGAAGATAAGGATAGTGCTGACAGATCAACTTCCAATTCATTGCGCGCTGTGGCGTTAAAGATAAACAAAGTTTAGATAAACAAACGTTAATGTTCAGATAAACAAAGGATATGCCTTTATCCATTTTTTGCAGCAATTCCACTTTTTGTTTAATGGACTTCGAAACATACTTTCGCTTTGTAGATCCTTCACATATTAGTAAATATATATCAGAATTTCTATTTGACATAATCAAAAGATCAAGCTTACTTTTATAAAATTGCTCTAACAGTCTGCAAAAAATAATAAGCCGAATCCAATTAGAAGATTAAGGAACACAGCAATCTGCAATATTAACTGAATTAGATAATTTTAGCTTAGCTTATACCATCCGTTATACAGTAAACGCGCATTCGTAAACGTATTTTACGTATGCGCACACGCATATTCGCAGCCGTAAAGATCTTACGCGCATGCGTTCGCGCAGAAAGTTTGTAGCTTTGAGGTCCGGATTATAGATCATTCCAGATTATGGGTGTCCGAATTAACGACTTTTGACTGTATAAGTTTTTATTTAGTCTTTTTTGAGAGATAGGCACAACATACTGAGTTAGAAGAACAAAATTGGGTTTCTCAGCTATTGGGTCTATTGCCTTATGAAATAACTCAACTAATTGCCATGAATCAGAAGAAAAAGCTAATGACTATAAGCACATTAAACAACTGCTATTGAGAAAATTTAAGTTAAGCCCTGAAAAGTTTTGGCAAAAGTTTGCTGATTACATTAAAATGTTGTGTAATACCTGGAGGGACTTCACGTTTGAATTAAAAAATTATTTTGAAGAGTGGCTTGCTGGATTAAATGTAACAGATTTTGACTCTTTAAAACAGCTTATTATTACAGATCAATTAAAGAAAAGGGTCTTTGCTGCTATACGAGATCATTTTATTGATGATTGGTCTAAATTCATTAATCCTGAAGAGTTGGCTGAAAAACTAGATGAATATGAAAATATTCAGGCAGGGATAAAAGTACTTCAAGTAGAAAATAAAACTTTTAGGCATAATTCTAAGCCTAAATTCAGTTCTTAAATTTTATGAAGGATCCTATAATCAGTATTTAAGACCCAGAAATATTAATGATTCTATGCAGACAGATGATAATTTCAAAGTAGGTTTTAAAAACAGTTTTGATAATAAATATAATTTGAGAGATAAATTTTATAAAATAGACGATAGGAAAGAGGAATATAATTCTGCAATGAAAAGGGTGAGCCGAAATGCTTCAATTGTAATGATTATTGACATATAGCGATGGATTGTCCTCAACCTAAAAAAGAAATTATTTCCAGGAAATGTAATGAAAAGGGTCATACTTTTAAAAAGTGCACTTCTAAGATTTCAGACTTGACAAATGTTAAAAATAATTTATTCGTGAACCAGAATTCAGATGTTTCACCAACTGTATATTTAAAGTATGTACGCATCAATAATGGAGAAGAAATTACTGCAATCATAGATACGGGTTCCAGTTCATGTCTATTGAAACAGTATGTGGCTAGGAAACTGAATCTTATTATAAAATCTGATGTGGAAGAATTGTTTGGCTTTGGAAACCAGAGTAAACCAGCCATTAGAACATTGGGATAGGTAACTGGCAATTTAGAGACTGTTAATGTGGAAGGAAAGGACATTACGGCTCTAACTGTAAGAGATGAAATGCAACCATGCGACTTATTAGTTGGTCGAAAATGGATTGATTTGCCACATACTGCACACGCCAAGATATGTAAAAGCTTGCACATATGCTATCCTAATGATTGTCCATTTTCACAGTTACAAAATAACATCAACACTCCGTGAATTAAACTGAAGACTTCCCAAGAAACTGAAATCGAAAGTAATACAGTTAATGTCGTGAAAGTTAAATCTGATGAAATAAATAACAGTTATGTTTTAATAAGTGGATCGAAAGATGAGTTGGGCTCATTATTGGAAGTAATACAGACAGAAACAGTGATACCGGTCACTAACTACAGTAATTGAAAATTAATTTTGAAAGAGAATCAATGTATTGGTAGAGCAAAAGTAGCAGAATTAGTTAAAGCTGGAGAGTTAAGCACTTTGCCAAACAAAAAAGTAAATAGAGATGGTAAAATAATAGTTAAAAATTGTAAAATGAAAGTGAATCAGACGACAATTCTAATTTAAATGATGAAGATTCCTGTCCAGAATCAGCTGACAACAATGAAAGGGCAGCAGCTCTGGACTAGGATGGAAAGTTTGAAAATCCAAATACTGTAAAAGTCACTAATTCCAAAGGTTAAAAGTCCCTGAAAAGGAAAATGACTTCAAAGAAAATCGTTAAACAGAATACAAGTGAAGAAAATAGATATAATAAAGAAGAAACCAGAAGTGATGATATCAATGATATTAAAGAATGTAAATCTATTCAAAAAAATTATAATCAAAGGCTTACGAAATATAGCAAGAGTTGTAAAATTACAGCACTTGAGAAAGAGATTTATACAGAGAAAGAAAAAAAAGTTCACAAAAAGAATCAGTTTGTTAGATAAAATTTCTAGCATAAGTGTAATTCGGCTAGTAGATTGTTGGAAGAAATGTTCAGTAGATAAAAAGAAAAGAAACATGTCTTTACTTCGTGAAGACAAAATGGCGGCGGGAAAAAAAAATAGAGGGTTGCTGTAGGAGAGTTGGTCGCCAAATTTTCGCCAAAAAAATGCCAAGTTACTATAATGTAAAGATCAACCAAAACTAATTTTACTTCCTCGTCCCCCCCCCCAGTGCAAGCTATATTCCAACAAAAATTATATGCTATAAAATGCTTCTTTTTCTTGCAATAATATATCTAATGAAATTAAAAAATCAATTTTTTTACATTAAAACACTTTATAGAACATATAAATACAATTATGCACTAGTATTTTTATTAGAAAATTTTATTTTCATTTAATTTGAATGGGCTCTGGAAGATCACATCTCCCCATTTAAGGGTAAAAGCTTGTTTGGACAGATGCCAATGACGAAAAGTCAAGAAACTTGGTGAAGCAATTTCTTCAAAATCCTCTGGATTTTCATCTATTATTCTAGAATTTAGCTCTTTGATCTCCAAGGCTTTAAATTATCACTATGCTTATATTCATATCTTAACAGTGTTTGCATTATTAAAAATGTGTTTCTTTCAGTTTTTTGACTCATATTAGCCTATTAATTCTAATTATGCCATCTAAATGTGGAGCAAAAATTCTCTTTCAATTAAATGCGAGTAATTGACAGGCGTTTAAAAAAAAGATGAAACTAAGTTAATTGCACACTACAATGAAGGAAAGTCAACAATTACACATATGTATGTCTGTTTTAGTTCTGCTAAACAAAAATATCATGATGGCAAAATAAAATAAGCAACATTAATAAATAAATTTATTTAGTTAACTAACACAATGGAATGAATTAAAAAATTTATTCATTCCATTCAGATTAGTGAGACTACCATAATTTGCAAAGTAAGCCAAGCAATCAAGAGGATTATAAAAAGTGTTACTTAATATGCAGAATTTCAGGTGTATAAGTATGATTTTTAAAATATTTTAATTACTTTATTTTTTTTAAAAAATCCTCAGATATGAACATTCATATACAGATATAGTTTACCTGAAATCAGGAATACCAGCAGAAGTACTGATTCCAGCACCTGTATGAACAACTACATGTTTAGCTTCTTTTATCATGTTAGCCAATACGTTAATTTTCTCTTCTAACAGTGCTGGATCATCATGAATCTAAATAATCATAAATAAAAAACATTACAAAATATTTTTATTTATAAATTACTAAACTATTTAAAAATAATTAACTACAACTTGAGTTCATTAACATGCTTCACTGAAACTTTCAGAACTGGACATTTTGTACTGTATTTCTCCTATAGGACTGGGATTTTTTGCCTATTTTGTGCACTTTTTAAAGTCCACTTATTCTTTTAAATTTAAAAGCTTACTTTCTGATTATTTGAACCCCCCACTGAAATATCACGAAAAAATATTCAATAAGAAAAGTACTATGTTGCCAAAATAGGTATGTGGTCACCCACGATGTCATCAAAAATTATTTATTTATGCAATAACCCTAGTATGCACACAGCACTTGTATATTTTAGTTGGTGCACAATGTTGAATTTGTAGGTCAGTGATGCTTTCTTAAGCAAAAACAGATCGCTGTGTTGATAAGGAAGAGAACAAACACTAAAAAAAAAAAAAAAGGGGGGGGATATCTTGAAAAAGATAAGTGCTTTATTACTAATATTTCTTGCTTTTCTAAATTTTATTGATTGATTGCTCTTGCATGGAATTTTTAGAATGGGACTATTTTGAAGATGGCTGTTGCCTTTCGTGCATTAGCTCAGCAAAACATTAGTCACCAACAAGTTTGCAAATACTCTTCAAAGTCTGCAAAGAGTTTGGTTATAGTTTACTTTTTTCTCTTTCATTACTTTATTATTATTACAATTAATTTTTTCAGTTTTTTTCATTTACTTTTTTCTGTTTCTCAAAGAAAGTACCATATACTTTTTTTTTTTTATGTTTAAATGTATATTGACGGCCAAAATGTGGTCATTTTTTTGAAAAATGTGCATTTCAACTTCTGTTAAACGTCTGATCTTGTATAATTTCATAATTTTTAATGAAAATCCTCTAAATTTACACTAGAAAATTAATTTTATGCAAGACATAATACAGTGTACTACAATGAATTAGATTTTGTACCCAAATAAGTACAGCTAAATTGAGATATAAGCAGGGCCAGTGCTAGGCATTTTTGCCACTTGGTGTATTCTCTGTGGGTTCTAAATTCTGCTAGAAATTTCGAAAAAAGATTTATGCTTATTAATGAATAATAAAATTTATGTATGTTTTATTTTTCTTTTGTCTCTTTTCATTAATGTTTGAATCCAGTTCTGTTAACTGAGTTTGTTTTACACAAATAATTTCTACCATTTCAGTAGATAGATTTAAAAGATTAAAGTCTATTGTGACTTCAGTATTTTCAGCAAGCTCATTTGCTTTATTTTCAAGCACTTAAATTTCTCTTTCTAAGAGAAACTTCTTTTTCTTTAAGAAAAATCAATTCATTTGTTGATTCTGCTTTTCTTTTTTTATTTTGAACAATTTCTCCCCTTCCCCGATCTTCCAGATATTACTGATTCTGCGAATGAGCTGATGAAGCTGCCACTCTCATCTCTTTCGCAATTGATACATTGTGGATCCAACCAGCATGTTTCATGTAATCACAAATGATGTGCTGGGCAAAATATGAATTTTCTCCCAGATTTTCTGTCTAGATATTTTTATTGATACTAAATCTTCATTCAGCAGAGGCTTGCCCATGAGAAAGAATAAAAATCATTAAGAATGCATACTATCCCAGTGCTTCTCATAAATTGAAGCATTTTTGAATAAATGATGTTTATTCTTTCAAAATATGTGCATATCACATATTTTGTGAGTCACATCTAAGAGAAAGATAATTTTAATCCATGATTTCTTTTTCAGCGTATAGTTCTTGCAAGAGTATATCAGCCCTGAATCCTAAACTAATTTTGCTTATTTCAGTAACAATACTTTTCTTAGAAACATCAAAGTTACACAAATACTTCAGTAATGAACTGATTTTTAGCATGTACTCTTCTTTTATCATTTTGAAATGTTGCAGAAGTTGCTTTACTAATTTGTGTAAATCTCAAAAGCAAAAAAAAAAAAAAAAAAAAAAAAAAGAAGGAACTAGTGTTTCATCTCTTTCGTACAGCTCAAAAAAAGGTTTGATCAATTATTTATATTTTATTATATATATTTATATTTTTAGCTATTTACTTTTCTATATAAATTTATCGAGGAAAGTGCAGAATCACCCACTGCGTACTCTATTTCTATCAGTGAAAGGGAAATAAAAAAAAGAAAAGAAACAAAATACATATATACCAGAATAACTGCTATAATTATGTTTATTCTCTCGTATATCAAGAAACATATCTATCACACTTCTATACATAAATGATATACAATGCAGGTTGTACTGTACGCAAGCAATTGCAGGTATAAATAAATTTAAGCAATTATATTTAATAAGGGTAGAAATTAGCATTTCTACATATTCAAATATTTTTGTATATTTGATACTTATAAACAGTTTGAATGTTACATACCTCTTTCAACCCACAAACTCCTTTATTTTCATATTTTGACAAACCATCAGCATAATTACAAGACATACTTGATTAAAAAAAATTACTGCATCACCTATTGCTCTTAAAACATTAAAAATTATTCAGAATATTTATATGAATTACATCAATTAACTTCAAAGATTTCAATATATTTAAAGAGACTATAGACAGACAGACAGAAAAAGCAGACAGATGTCTTGTTTTGCACCCGCTAAATCTTTCTGCATCGATGAGCGAAAATCAAGCTTAGGTGCGAAGGAAAGATTGAGGCAAGTGTTGAGGCTACTAGTATTCCTTTTCGGCTATTACAGTTATTAGGATATTCTATGATGCAGTAGCGGAAATTTCTGTTTTCGGCTATGGATCCAGGAAGTAAAATTTCTGTTCATGCCGGAATTGTGATATTGTCTTGTGCTATGATTTTATGGACAGATTTAACTTCTTCATCATTAACTCCAAATAACGCTATGTCCTCAGACGTAGAATGCAATTCGTTATTTTTAAAGTCCAAGGAAAAATTGTATTTCCTTAGAAAGTCCAATCCGAGTATGCAAGAATCAGTGATCACTGCTACATATGCCGTGTGACGGTAAGCGGCACTTCCAAACGTGATGTTAACATTTACTTTTCCGTCGATGTGGATCTTCTCACCGGACACAGTCTGGAGGGTAACTCAGGACGGCGTCCAGATAAGTTTGTTTCCCAGTTGTTGAGCCAAATCTTTTCGGATGATGGTAACGTTGGCTCCTGTATCTATCGTCATGTTGCAGGGAACTCCATTAACATGTCCTATTATGAAAAGTCCATTACTGCCGCCTCTCAATGCAGAAATCTGAAGCGTTTTAAGATGGGGCTTTTCATTATCTGGCAACCTCCGCCCCGCGAGATGGCCACCAATTAGTTTCCTTGCTGCTTGCTAGGAGCGGTCTTAACATCCGTGCCCTGAGGTGTTCTGTATTTCCGCCGTATGTGTCCTTCAGCTCCACAGTTCCAACATTTTAAGGTCGGTTTCTTTTCACTGATATTTCTCCTCAAGTCATTGAGTTGTCTGGTTATATCGTCTAGACGAACAGTGACTTGATCCCTTGGCTCTTGGACATGAGCAGCTCTGATTGGGTGGCGGTCTCTACGAGTTGCTTGCTGGACTGCCTTGAATTACATGGCGTACACTAGAGCGCTTTTTAAATCTTTTACATCCGCCATTCGTAGAGCTTTTTGTATTTCAGTATCCCGGATGCCGTCGATAAAGTATTGCAAGGAGAGGATTTCCTTTGTTTCTGTCAGGCATTCTGAAAAGGCGAGATGGCACAGCCTTTCAACATCCGTGGCGAGCTCCTAAAGTGTTTCGGTAGGCTTCTGTTGACGAGATTTTAATTGGAGCCTGCTGTAGTCTTTTAAACACTTCTACCCTAAGCGCAGCTCCAAGGCGCCGGACAGAGCTTTGAAATCTAATCTTTTGTTATCAGGAAGAGTCTACAGGATATCCGCTGCGTCTGCTCTTAAAGAAGCGGCGAGATGACAGGCCTTAGCTTGGGAATCCCATCCATTCGCACCAGCCACGATAGAAAATTGTGTCTTATACACCTGCCAGGAGGTCTTCCCATCATATGTCGATAGCTACAGAGAGGGATGAGCAAGCATTGGTAAAAATTTAAAACCATCCGAATTGCTCCCTGCCGTCGCTACGAATTTCTTTAAAGTATCGACTTCTTTCGCAACGGCTGAAACCCTATCATCAATTCGTTGCTCGACGGCAGAAACTCGCTCTTCTATATGTTCTTTTACAGAAGATACTCTTTCTTCTATTTCTTCTTTCACCGAAGAAACTCTTTCTTCAATTTGAACATTTACGGAAGAAACTTTTTCTTCAATTTGCCCAACTTTATATTTCAACCACATCTATTCTGCCTTCCATATCATGGTATTTGGTTTCTATTAAGAAGGCAATTTCTCTTTTTCATTTCGTATTGACTTTCTTCAATCTTTACTTGTACGGCTTTTATAACTTCTTTAACAGATTCCTTAACAACTTTTATTTCGTCTTTAAAAGTTAACTGACCAGCTTGAATGGCCTTCATCTCTTCTTAACGGATTCTTGTCCCGCTGTCCCGCTTCAATCTTTTCCTGATTAGATTTTCCTGATTTCATATCTTCTTTCAACGAGGCAAAGGCTGATATCAACTGCCTTAATTGCTCTTCCATCGCTCTTGTTTTTGGCGTTCAAAACCCACTCCTGACACCAAAACTTGTTGCGTGCGTACGGGTTCGTTACGAAATGAATGCACAAGTCCGATGTACCATAGTCGTATCTCTCCAAATAAACAAAACCTGTTCTAGACTAAATATTTATCATTATATACAAGTATGTACAGATTACAATCTAAAAAAACTTTAAAATACATTTTCATTACAGTTCAGCGCGCAAACTAGCATCCGCTCCTTTCTCTTTCACATCTCAGTCTCTTTCTACTCCACCTGCGACCAGGGAGGAAAGTCCACTCCCCTTTTTCGGCCGAGGCGAGAAGAGGGTTCTCTGTCCCTGCTTTTAGGGTGGGTGACCAAGTCTTTTTTAGAGAAGGGGAACATTACAGCTCCTTCCCCCTTCGAAGAAACATTTTGCTCATCAAAATGTTTAAGTATATTTGAGATAAAGAGTTAGTTACACACATACATAAGAAAACTGTACTTAGCTTCCATCACTGAAAACTTCTTGCTTAAGTACAAGATGGGATGTTCGGTGTTGTTCTCATCCATTTGTGTTAATACCACTCCCATCCCTAAATCGGAAGCATCAGTTTGCACCATAAATTCTCTGTTAAAATCTGGTGCGTGTGGCACAGGTTCCTTCGTTAATTTTTCCTTCAACTGAATAAATGCGTCTTCGCATTCCTTTGTCCAAAGAATTTCTCCCTTCTTTGCTTTCCCCTTTAAGGCATTCGTCAGTGGAGAAGCTATAACCGAAAACATGGGAATATACCTGCTGTAATTATTAAAGTATGTTAATAAAAATAATAATAATATAATATATAGTTTAGATAAGTTCTGGCAACAGTGAGTGTTGTCGTCATCAGGAGATCGTGCTTCGCGATACTGTCGTTCAAAAAAAAGCTATAGTTTGTAATTCCAATAAAAAGCATCGTATTTTTGCTCTGCTATTTGTTTTTCTCTCTATTTTTAGAAATACCTTTTTAAGTTATGTATTTTTAAGAAATACTTTTTTTAGGTTATGGGTCAAGCAAACTCCCATATTGTGTCAAATGTTTTGAATTGATGTTTTCTCGAAGAAACGGAACTCGTTAAGCCTAATCAAGTAAGTGTTTTGTTTTCGTTATAGCAATCGAAAGTTGTTTAGAAATCAAAGTATGGAATTATCTAAGGTCCAAGTAAAGCCTTTATCGGGTGAAAGCGATTGGCTTATATGGAAATACAGGATAAAATTTGTTTTAAATTATCATTCTGGTGCTTTAGAAATTGTAGAAGGAACTATAGTGAAACCAGAAATTCTTTCTGTAGATGCTCCGATTGCTCAACAAGAGAAATATAATGAACGGTAAAACCATCGAAACTAGTCCTGTGAAAATTTTGTAAATTAACGCTGATTTTTGTTGTTTGACTTCTGAATTAGTATAATGAAGCTGTTAAGAAGTTTCAAAATGCAAACACTAGTGCAATGATGGTATTAACGAATTCCATGACGGAAGAAACTCTGCAAAATGTTAGGAGATTTCAGACTGCTAGAGAAGTGTGGTTGGAATTACATAAGTTATTTGAAGCATCATCAGAAAATCAATTGTATAATATATGCATGCAATTTTTTCAATTCAAGTGGAATGAAAATGATAATATGGCAGCTCATCTTTCCAAATTAAGAAACTTATGTAATGAGTTGAATTCAGGACTTGAAAAAAAATGAAAATAAGTTACCTGACATGCTACTCAATTGCAAGATTTTAGATGTCTTACCAGGACAATACCATTTGTAAGTCAAGTTGGTTACTCTTGGGTGAAGACAAAAGAACAGTTGATGAGTTAACAGCACAGCTTTGCTCTCATGAAAGAGAATTTTTAAAAGTCATGAGAAAGGCAATACAAATGAACAAGTGGCATTAGTAATGTCAAAATCTGAAAAACAAAAGCAATATAAAAAAGACAAATTCAGAAGAAAACCAAGAAAAGAAGATATTTGCAATTATTGCAAAAAGAAAGGACACTGGGTAAAAGATTGTAAACAGTGGATTGCTGATGGAAGACCACCCAAGAATAGGTTAACGAAAAACCAATGAAGGAAATACAGGCAGTGTAATACTGATGTCCATTGACGAAGAGACTAAGACTGATCAAACCTCTTTTTGGATTGATAGTGGAGCTACAAGACATATCATGAATTGTTTCACATACTTTATTGACTTTATGAAGTTTGATAGTCCCTGTAGCATCAAGGCTGCTGGAAAAGAAACTTTAGTTGCTCTTGGTAAAGGTACAGTATGTGTCAAAACAACTATTGGTAGTAAAATCCAAAGAATTTACCTTAAAGATGTTTGGTATGTCCCTGAGATAAACAGAAATTTATTTTCTTAACTTGCTGCTCAAGATAGAAATCCGAATAGTAAATTTATTTCAACAGAATGCTGGTTAAAGGTTAATGGTCAAGTAGTGCTTTTCGGAACTCGCAAATTATATGGTACTTTATACAAGGCAGCTATCGAACCTATTATGCCTGATAAAATTATAGAAGTGCATGCTGCTGAAGCAGACAATTCCTTGTTAGACTTATATCACTGGAGATGGGGACATCAAGATAAACGTCACATTAATGGTATGCTTCATTGCAATACGAGATCGGATTTTAGCAACTGTGCAGCAGTATGTACCCTTCGTCCGTGGCGGGCTTTGTATTGCTTGCATAAAACAATTCATTGAAAATAAAATGCACTCAGTTCAAAAGCATTCCTTTATAAGATTTATGCTAAGTTTTGAACAGTTACCTTTAGTTATTCTTCCTAATTTCTGCTTACAATTTCCTACCAGGAGATGTTTTTAGAATCGCGTTTAATGCAAATGAGTAAGAGTGGAATTTATCTCGGAGTTCCACTGACTTCGTTAGGAAGCCTCAAAGTTTATGACTACCTCGCTTTTCTCTTATGGCTACTTCTCTCTCTAAGCTATTACTACGCTCGGCCGTATTACAGACCCTTTATAGATTTCGCTCGCTTATTAGATATTTAGGGAACAACTACTTGGAATTTTGATAGCTTCGGCTGTATATTTTTAATTTAAGCATTAGTTAAGTTTTATTTCTAATTACTTTGAGTTCAAGCCCAAGTGGAGGCTTCGCTGTACGCTCTGAGAAAGGATCCGACTGTTACCTCTTATTTTGAATAATAAGGGATAATTAGAACTTCTTGAGTTTGCATCTCTGTTCATGAACTAAAGCGATTATTCGCTTACGGTTTACAAGGTTCCTACACATTTAGCTGTTGGATAAGAGTAGAATCCACACCTTAACTAAAATTACATGGGGACGACCTTGATCAGATGAAGTGTTTGACTATATTCACTGTTATTTGTACAAATTTAACTCGTGTGGTCCAACTCGAGATCGTTTCAAATTTGTCTACTGAATCATTTATTGCAGCTTTAACACGATTTATTTCTAGAAGAGGTAAGTGTGCATCCATATTTAGCGAAAATGCTCGAAATTTTGTTCGGGCTAGCAATGAATTGAAGCGACTCTACAATTTGATGAAATACCCTGATGAATTCTTAACCAAATATCTGACATCTGAAAGGATTCATTGGAAGTTTATCCCTCCCAGGGCTCCTCACTTTGGAGATATCTGGGAGGCAGGTGTTAGGTCGTTTAAGTTTTGTCTTAAGCGTGCAGTTGGGAGGTTGATTTTTACATTTGAGGAGTTTCTTACAATTTTGAACCAGATTGAAAGAATTTTGAATTCATGTCCAATATCTCCTCTGTCAAATGACACCAATGATTTAGAAACTCTTACACCCGCACACTCTTTAGTCGGGCGACCTTTAACATCAATAGCAGAGCCTGATTTAACTGATTTTTCTGACAGGTCTTTAAAGCGCTGACGGCGCACTACTAAAGTAACGCAATATTTGTGGAAAAGGTGGCAAAATGATTACATCAGTCATTAACAGCAATGATTTAAGTGGTATTTCTCTAAGGATAAAGTTAAAAAGGGCACTATAATTTTAGTCAAGGAAGCCAACATGCCCACTTGGACTTGGTTACTGGGGAAAATAGAAGAACTAATTTATGGTAAGGATAAAAAGGTTAGAGTTTGTATTGTAAAAACCAAATCAGGTTTTTTAAAAAGACCAATAACTAAATTAGCTGTACTACCAGTAGATGTTACATAATTTCATGTATATTTGCTAAGTTCAAAAAATTATTATTTATGCATTGTATTTGAATTTATATGCTGTGCATTTAATGTTCTGTGGTTAATTATGTTTATTGCTTTTGTTCATGTGTATCAATTTAAATTTTGTGATATATGATTTGAACTATATAGTAATTTAAAACTGTTTAATTTTGGTCATTGTTAACTGTGTAACAAATGCCCAACCCGGGCGGTATGCTAAGGCAGAAGTGAAGTAATGCCATGATCGAATGAATATTGTTTAACTAGAGTGATCTGGCAACCACGAGGAAGAAATGGAACAACGTAGACAGCTAGCGGCCATTGATTGATTGTGTGCTGGTAGTTCGAGTCGGTAAATGTATGTATGTGGATGGCAAGAGTGTCCATCCAAGTAAGACTATGTAAGTTCTCATGTACTTAATATTTGTTAACAGAAGTAAAATAAAAGAAATGTACAGTCCATTAAATTCAGTGTTTGAATTTCATAAATAATTGGGTGAGTAAATTCTATTTGTGGAACAGTTTTAATGTTGCCGTCTTCCAGCTGGTCTTTCCTGACTTTTTTTCACTTCATGGGTCTCGATCAGCTAATGCTCATGTTGTACTTTCTTGTGCTACGGGACTCAGCAACTCGTGTTTCTCTTCGACACTAGTATGATATCGGCAGCTTTCTGAGTAAAGTCTTCCGGACAAGGAGTCGGCGTTCTCAGGTGAGGATCTCTTCTGATGATGGTCAGTTACGTCCTCAGAGGCTGAATGCAATTTGTTGTTTTTAAAACCGAAGAAAACATTGTATTTCCTCAGAAAGTCCAATCCGAGTATGCAAGCAGCTGTAATATGTGCCACAGATGCCGCGTGATGGTAGGCGACACTTCCGAACGTAATATTAACGTTCAATATTCCATCAAAGTCGATTTTATCACCGGACACTGTCTGGAGGGTAACGCAGGATGGCGTCCAAATGAGTAGATCTTTTAATTGTTGAGCTAAATCTTTCCCAATGAAAGTAACATTGGCTCATGTGTTGATGGTTATATTGCAAAGAACTCCATCGATATGCCCTTTAATGTTTAGTTCATTTCTGTTTCCACTCACTGCAGAAATCTTCAGCGATTATAAATAGGATTTTTCATTATTGTTCAAACTCCCCTCCTCGAGATTGCCACTAATTTGCTTCCTGCGTAGTTGCTGAGAAATGGTCTTATTTTCCGTGCTCTGGGGTGTTCTGCAGCTTCTCCGTACTTGGCCACCGCACTTCCAACACTTTAGGGATAGTCTCTCGTCACTTCTGTTCCGTCTCAAGTCATTTAGTTGTCTGTTTGAATCGTCTGTCTTATTTTCTGTGCTCTGGGCTGCTCTGCATTCCGTCGAACGTGGCCCTCAGTACCGCAGTTCCAGCAGTTTAGTGCCAGCTTCTTCTTCGTCCTATTCCATACCAAAGCACTGGCTTGTCACTTAATCTGCTAGTTCTCTTACATGAGCAGCTCTAATTGGCTGGCTATCTCTACGAGTTGCTTGCTGTGCTGCCTCGAATTTCATGGCGTACGTCGGATATTTCGAAAAGGCGAGATGAGACAGCCTCTCAACACCCGTGGTAAGTTCCTGGAGTATTTCTACATGCTTCATTTGACGGGATTTTAATTGAAGCCTACTGTAGTCTTTTAATCATTTCATCCCAAAGTACAGTTCCAACGCGCCGAACAGAGCTTCAAAATGTAGCCTTTTGTCTTCGGGAAATGTCTGAAGGATATCCGCTGTATCTGCTCTCAGAGAAACGGCGAGATGACAGGCCTTAGCTTGGGAATCCCATCCATTCCCTTCTGCTGCTATAGAAAACTGTGTCTTATACACTTGCCAAGAAGTCTTCCCATCACATGTGGATAAATTCAGCGAGGGACGATCAAGCATGGATAAAAATTTAAAAACTATCAAAATTTCTCCCTGCCGTCGCTACGAATTTCTTTATGGTATCAAATTCTTTGGCGACTGCAGAAACACTGTCATCAATTTGTTGTTACACAGCAGAAACTCTCTCTTCTATTTGTTCTTTCACAGAAGAAACGCTGTAATCGATTTGTTGTTCCACGGCAGAAACTCTCTCTTCTGTTTGTTTTCGCTTCTTTTAGAAGATTCTTTACTTTCAATTTCTCCAAATTTATTTTCAACCACGTCTATTCTGTTTTCCATATCCTCAAATTTGTTTTCGATTCTGAAGGTAATTTGTCTTTTCATTACTTCTTGACCAGCTTCTATGTTTGCTTGAATGCCTTCATCTCTGCTTTAATTGCACCTTGACCAGCTTCCATCTTTTCTTGAACGGCTTTGATCTCTTCTCTAATAGTTTTATCTCTTCTTTAACGGAATCTTTCATTTCTGCTTTAAATGCAGAAAAGGTTGCCATCAGCTTTCTTAACTGCTCCTCCATGGCTCTTGTTATTGGCATTCATTCCCACTTCTGACACCAAAAAATGTTGCGTGCGTACGGTTTCGTAATAGACTGAATTCACAAGTCCAATAAAAGATTATTAAAATTTAGTCTTATAAAAAGAACTATCACAGAACCGTGGATTTTTTCTCAGAGATATTCGTACGATATCACAATATCATCAGTAGCTATACTTTAAACTACTAAGACGTTAAACAGAATACAATCCACAGCGCAGAGAAAGCTAATCTGGTCAACAATAATAACAGCAACTAACTAAACAACTGAGCTGAGATGTTTTCTGTTTGGATTTTTATAGCTTTAAATCGGTCGCTTGAGATTCTAGTAATTTCCGGAAATCAAAAGAGTAGAATTACGATTATAGCTAACACAGTAGTTAATGACATTTATACATTTATTCAATTTAAATATAAATTACGAGATATCTATTTATTAAATGTTAAATGCACGTGCCCCTGTATTTTTAACTGTCCGGCGTAGCCTTCTCTTAAAATATATCTCGTGTTGCATTCCACGGGAAAAATACGACAATTTTAATTAAAATTCTACTAAAAATATCTAACTAAATCCAAAATTTGTAACAATAATAATAAGCTCTCTTCATCAAGGTGTAGACTATAATCGGAAATTTTTAAATTATTATTTATTAATTTTTAAAAGTATTTTCTTTTACATTAGGTGTGTGCTATTTAACAATTTTTAGGGCCATTTCTAAATTATGCTGTGTTTTGGCTATCAGTACGTATCTGCTCATTAATTATTAGAGATAATTAGAAACTCAATGCATAAGCAAACAGTGATATTTGCATCTTATAGAACTTGTTTATTCACAGAGTTGTAGCAGGTTTTCGGGTCATTGTTATATTAACTATTTTAAATCTAGTAATTACTCGCGTGTCGAAATTTTATAGATTTCCCCGAGTATCAATAAGTGAGCAAGATTTTAAAACTTCATTACATTTTAAGCCATATTCTGTCGGTAAAAAACTGTCATAATGTCTGCTTACATATTACGTATTAATGAATAATAAAACTCTTTAAAATATGATGGTTACCTCATGATGATTAATTCATAGTAAAGCTGTGCTGGATTCTATTTAAACATAGCAAGCACAGTTTGGGAAAGTATATTAATTCTCGTTTTAGAAAGATTTCCCTTTACAAGGGATTTGTTCAGACTCCTAGGGAAAACATCAAGCACGAAACGTCTGATGACATGTTAAGAAGCATGTTTATTAAATATCTCACTCAGCAGTCAAGCCAAGGATGTTACTGAAGGCAATCGTCTTTGTTTTAGCCATAGTATCTTTCGGTGGTAAGTAAAACTTCTTAGAAAAATCTCTTAGTCTTCTTTTTTAAAAAAGTTGTATGAACTTTTGCATCCTGGATTTTATTTTATTTTAAAATAGTTTTTATTGATGTGCGGGATAACATTTCATATTACAGTATAATAACGAAAAAAGTAAATAAATAAATAAACTTTTAAAATAAATAAATGAAAATATTTGGCCTAATAAACGCTATGCGAATCGAGTAAAATAAGATGACAAATATAAAACAAATTTTGAATCAATACAGATTTTGTGCATCTTGCTGCCAGTTAAAAGTTTTACGAATTGCTTGCATCTATCCTACTATATGAAAAAGTTTAAGCCATAAATTATATTCTTATACGAATGGATAAATTATTTAAACTATTGCTTTTGTATAACGACATATTTTTATTTAAATTATTAGTAATATTAATAAACGAAAATAAACCAAAACAATATGCAGTTATTAATAAAATAATTATAATCACTATTTAAGTATATATTATATATCTATTATGTTATTATTATTAATCATTAAAATCCAAAATCTTCCTTCAAATCACAGCAAATAAGCATAGAAAAAGCATTTTACTATGGTATAATGTAGGTTAATCGAAATAGGAAAAACGTAAAGTTGACTAAATGAGTCCGAAAATCCTTTATCATCACTCTTTCTTTTAAACACCCTTCTCCTTAATTAATATACCTTCTCCTTTTTTCGTTATTTAGAATTACAAATTTCAAAATTAAAAATATCACGAACTCTATTTTTGGGTATAGTGATGCCAACACATTATACCCCAAAATAGCTCACTGTAAAATTTCTGTTCACTAGAACATGTTCACGTACCGACTTTCATGGACAGGTTAAATCGATTGAAATGTACTTTACATTAAAAGGATCCCATGAAATTGATAAAACTATCAAAAATGGAAGGACATAAAGCTTTTCGTAAGCATTAAAAAAAGGTATGTTTCAAGTTAATTATCCCATTCTAAGAGGAAATTCGTTTACAGACTACCAACCACTTTGTTAACATTCAAGTGGATGACTAAATTGAAAAACAGTGATTAATTGCTGGATATTCTGAGATATGCTTATTTCTTATTTTTATAAGTTACATGATTTTGTAAATACTCTCGCACTGAAGTTATCGTACTATTAATTTTCAGAATATATTCTTCCAGATTTTCCTTGCAGAAATTGGTTTAACAGCTTAAAATGAATAAGTACGATAGAATGGAAAAATTAAAGATTTTTTTTTTAATAGCAGATTTGAAAATAAAATTTAAAAAATGAAAATTCCAAAGTGCGTTTTAGACCTCGATGTGTCTAAAAATACATTTTAAAAGCTAATGATTCATATAGAAGCAATACCAATGCAAAATTTTGGAGATTTTTAGCAGCATTCTCTTAAAAAGAATTTAAGAAGCTCTTATTTTGCCTGAAAGTGAAAATTGCACAGGCGGATTAAAAAATTTTAATGACATTATAAAACACCCAAGATGTATTTGTTAGATATTTTATACTCAATATATCGTAGCAGATAATGTTATTGGAATAATAACTTATATCAACTTGACATTAATGTCTTAAAATGAATTAATTAGATAGAAGGGTCTTAAAAAATGAAGTTCTCAAATTTTCTCGCCTGCATAAAAGCGCAAAACGTCTTCATTGAAAAGAAGGAAGCTATTTCTTGTAACAACTGTACTTGTTATTTCTTTCCAAGGCTATATCAATGTTTCGCTAAATAGCTGCTTCATTATGCGCTTCGCTTTAAAGACGTAATATAATCAACCTTGGCTTTGCAATTTAAAAGAATTTGTAGATTACTCCTACGAAAGCCACTTAAAATACTGCGAAGGCGATAACTCTCTTCTTATTGCGCATATAACAACTATTGCATTTCCAGAAGATCCGAACTAACATATGGTTAACTAAAAGAACGAGAAGTATCCCAACTTAACCTAAAGCACAATTCAAGCTTAGAACGGACATTAGTTTCATAGAAATCTTCTACGCATTTCAAGGGAATCATCTTCACGAAGCAAACGTGTGGCATAGAAAAAGGCCAGATAATCTTAAAATTCATAAAGCTTTTCTATAAACTTACTATCATTCTAAGAATGACTTTTGCACTAATTCAGGGTTTTACTTCTTAATTAGGTTTACTTGGTCCTTCCTGAGATTTTCAGGAGAATTAACGTCCAGCTTCTGAAAGTAACTATAGGGACAATTTTTTTTTTTTTTTTCAGAATTTCAGAATTTCGTTATTTTCAGAATGTACCAGACTCTGGTAACCACATGGAGGTAGGAAAGGGAGGAGGGGCCATTCCGCGCTAGAAGTGAAGCACTGCTTTGAAGCTTGGGTCACCAGACGGGGTGTTCTTTGTTTACATTCAGAAGCTCGCTTGACAAGATTCTGATAGTATTTCGACACACGACAGTTCCATAGAAATCGAAAAAGGGACACTCTCGCATGAAAGAAACATTCATAGTGTAATGGATAATAGCAATTTGTATAGTTTACTGACATTTACGCAAAAATCACATCTTGGTTATTTTTCGATAACTAACAACAGCGATTTTGATTATGAATTTGTTTTATAAAATTCTAAGCTGTTGCACTACAAAAATATAGATTTTTAAGAAAATTGCTAAAAGAGATCTGCCAAGATTTATTTTCAAGAAGATTTGAAAAGTTTGAAACTTGATGGCTAAATGTAAATATAAAATTATGTATGTTAAAATATTTGTAATTAGGCACATAGGTCTAATTGCACTGGACAGTTGCAAGTTTTTATTAAATAGAGTAACGCATGCAAGGGCTATCTGCCTAAAGAGAGAGATGCCATCGTGGAGGAATTTTGAACAAAAACTGACCTTTGAGTGGGTATTAAAAATAATACTTATAATTTTCATTCAAATTATATTCATATATATTTTTTATGTAAAACTTTCGGGTGTATGCTAAATTAGTGTAAATTACTTTACACGAAAAATATAGTGAATGCACAGAAATTAAAGATTTGCACATGCCGGAAATGATAAATAGGAAATATGTATGGGTATTTATGCATGTGCTTGCAAAAAGCATGTATCTGCCTTTGTCAAAATACTTAAATATTCATTAAATTATTTATAAATGTATTTGAAATGAAGAATTTATTCACTTATAAACAACTGTGGAAGTACTGTGAAGAAATCTAATGATTAAATGTATCTAATTTATAATGATTATAAATGTTATCTAAATATATAATAACTTTAATATTGAATTGTAAACATAAATTGAAATCCTGTTGACAAATACGTTATAAAACTATTTAAGCAAGAATTGTTCGTATTGGAAAGCAATCTGTTAAAAGGTATTGTAAAGCAAATGCTATGAGATGCGCACTTAAGAACGTAATAAGGAGTTTTGGAATATGTATTGTTGAAATGAAGGGTAAAAAAAAAATCTGATAAGTATAATTAAAAGAGTTATTCCCTTTACATTTTATAACTCAGTTACAAGTTTTAAATAATACTTAAAAAAAAACTTATTTTATTCCCTTTCAGAAATGTTCAGAGAAAGTCAAATACTATTTAATACCTATTTAATTATTAGGAATTAGCGAAATACTTATTTAAAGTATTTTGCTAATTCCTAATTCTCTAATTTAAAATGAACCGAATAGAGCATTAATTATAAATTAACTTACATTTTTCGACTTAAAAGAAGCCAAAAAATCATGTCATATTTAAGAAAGTATTTCAGGAAGAAGCTCTATAAATAGAAAAGAAATAATGCATAATTTTAATATTAATAATACAATAAACTTTGATCTTAATTTTTGTACCTTAACCGAATCAAATCGAACTACCTTAATTTTTTTTCTAATGTAATTAACGAAAACTTGTGAAAATATTTCATTCAAATTAAACCATTCTGAGAAAACTATCCTGTGAAAAGTATAGCATTTAATTCCGTTCAGAATGAAATGTTGTTTAAAAATATGTTGTTTTCACATACTTAGGACTCTGAAGTGTTGTAGAAAAAGAAAATATATACATTTATATGTATATTTGCGACGTAATTACAAAATATTTACACCCGAACGCGTCAAATCCCATAGAACTCAATGGTAAATGACCCAATGTGTTGGTCACCACGTAGGCATCGCCGGTGCTTCAGAGCAGGGTACGGAGAAACTTGTTTAGGGCGACTCCATCTTACTTCCTACCTCCATGGGTAACCATGTCCATAACAATTCTTCAGTCAAGTAACAGCACCTTTTTCGCATGCGCTTTTTTTTTTTTTTTTTTTTTTTTTTTTTTTTTGTATTCCAAGTTTCAACGATTTTTATAGACAAATCATGAATTTTTTTATCTTAAAGTTAATTTTTAAATATAAAGAGGTAAGCATAAATAAAGAGAACAGCGAGGAAATAAGTTAGGTAGATAACCGGTGTTGCCGAAGTTTGCGCGATCCCGAGTCTCTGCATTTTCTGACCTTATGTAAGAAAAAAGAAAAACAGATCGCTACGTATATTTGAGGAGAAGAACAACGCAAATAACATACAAGAAAATTGAAATGAATGTAGTGCTTTATTTTTTAAATGTATCACGTAATCCTTATTTAATAATTAAAACCTGTATTCTAAATTGCTAAAGTATGTTTTATTTTCAAATGTTGCTAATCATTGACAACTTATGACAAACGTCGATAGTTTGGAAATCTTTTAAAAAAAGTCACAAAAATCATCAACTTTCACCCGATAAGTAAATTTTACCTTTTCATCGGTAAAATATCGTCAGATTGCGCCAAGGTGGTTCCATTAATACGCAAGTGAAATAGATGTTTACAGAAGTTACCTCCGCAGATTGCGGAGTTCAGATAACATAAAATATGAATTAAAATTCAAAGCAGTTTAGTACTATCGATTTACAAATATACAATCAAACAAGCATTTTCTGAATTCTAAACTAATCTGCACGAGTAACTCGGTTGGCGAAAAGCTAACGCCGAGTAACGTAATTCTCATAGCTTTACGAGGGAATAGTATAGTATCGCTGACAAAGCTCTTTAGCTTTTTCTGTCTAACTTTCAAGAACTCTACTCTTATATACATTATCTCATTTACATCCTGATGAGAGTTAGAGAAAAGTAAAAGTGATAGCATAAATAAAATCATAAGGGCTAATTAAACTAAAATCCTTACAAAATGAGGTTTTATCCTCTAAACGAAGAATGCAAAGATAGAGAAACAAGAATATGAAATGGAGATCATGACTCAATTTCGGAAGCATTTTTCTGATGTGACATGAAAGCTATATTAGCTTACGACATTTTCAAGAATATTTAGGAAATAATGCTGAGTTGTTAATATTGTATAATTTTTAATAATATTTCAAAAACAAATATCTTCAAGCAATCAAAGAAATTTAATTTTTCATTGCTTGATCAATTACTGTTCTTATATACATTCGTTATTAACATTCATTCTTCATCGCTTTTAGAAACTTCGCAGACTGTCAAACCTCCATCCAAACAATGCAGTCGTGATCTTTGCGATTAAGTAATAAAGAATTTATATGTGTGTGTGTTTATGTATGTATATTCCTCGCATTAAGGGAAAACGATGGCACTTAGAGTTACCAAATTTTGAACACACGTAATCCTCCCTCCCAAACACATAGCTAGACAAGCCCCTCGAAGTCCGAATTTTGAATTTTGAATTCGCTTTTTACTTATTTAATCTTTTGTACGAGCTTAATGAAATTTTGATTAACAAACTCGCTGATTTAAAAGGAATGTGTTGCCACTTGGCAAACCGTGCGATATCAAACTTTCAAATTTAACCAGCCACTTCCATTATTCATTAAAAATGGAACGGAATTTTCCCTTTCTCGCTGTTGTAACTTAGTTGCCACATTTGGTCTTTAATCAACTTTATCAGGGATGAGATGATCAAATAACCAATGGGTTCGGTTATTCCCAACGAATGCATCGGAATATTTAGAAGGACAACAAAGATTTTAAAATGCTTGTTCTAATTTCCGTTTCTAATTTTTTTAAATTCATGTCATACTTCACAGAAATATTAATTTTACTGGAATGAATAAGATAAAATAAGGATAGAATCATTGTGAGTTTAATACACTGATTGCTGAAGAATGTGTCTTGTGAGCCTGTTAGGAACTCTATGGAGAGAGAATTATCCTTGCGTGACAGTGCTACCTGAAGTTCTGTTAAATTCCCATCCAAATATCAGACTTACTGAGGGTAATTTATACCATTTACATTTGAGATATGCCGCATTGATTGGTATAGTGATTAGAGATGCTGGCTGCCGTGCTGCTGAATTCGGATTTGAGTGAGTCCTATAGAAAGCTTGGAGTTAGTAAATGTATAGCGTCTTTGCTGTTAGGGGCACTTAAAATGCATGGCGAGACTAAGTCTTCTTGATTGGTTTACTGATAAGAGAAGAGGGTACGGGAAATCCTTGAATCTATCCTTCACAGGTTTTCCCTTATAAATTCCGAACTGGGCAAAGTTGTACTGTTATAAAGTGTCCAAGGCCTGTGAAAATGATACACACACCTCTGCGTTCCTGCCACGATAAAATTCGTGGACATGTACTGATGTTACTTTCAAACAACTGAAATAAGCCATGAAAGTATTTGAGGTATGCTACTTACTTTTTATCTGGGCATATTGTAGCTTTGAAATGAATTAAAATGTACATTATACTGTAAGGATCATAAGTTTTACTAACGTTTATTTTATTTTAAAACTGTACTATCACTTCTTTATTTTCTACTTCCGGCCAAAATTAAATGCTTTAATTTGTTTATGCAAATTGTCTTGCTAACGCCAAGTACTTAAGTTGTGGCTTTTTGCCAAGAGAGAGAGAGAGAGACGGAGTTTTAGGAAGTAAGCCGCTTGCCATTGTAGTTTTACGAGTTTTCACTCGGTTGCTGGTTGACTTTAAGGCCAGAGGTTTAGCCCTCTTGATATTTGCAGACGTATCGTAGTTTTAGCAGCTCGGCATACTACATACGTACCTTTTTTAAATAAAGGCCAGTCTTAGTGCTAGGCATTTGTATACTAATTCAAAGTTAGCTTTTAGTTATTAGTTAGTAGTTTTTATATTCTTACGTTCAGACCACAAGTGGTTGGTCTCTGTATTCCGAAGTTCGGAAATACCTGTAAAGTATTGAAAATAAAGGGTTTTGTATACCCTTCCTGCTTGTATTGTCTACTTCACACCTTCTTGAACATAGCTTGAGTAAGCTCCTTGTTCCTATTCAGGATCATTCCTGTTTCCAACGCAAATAAAGAGAAACACAAGTCCTGACAATACATATTTTTTGATGGGGTAGCTTTAAAACCTTTATTAATTATTTTGAAACTCCTTCGCTATAGGACAGCATGCACCAAATAATATTCTCTAAAAAGACATTTTTGCCTACTTGATAATTCCTCCGAGATAGTATTCTTTCGTCATTAGCTCGCTTTAATCACGATAAAATTCTTCTAAACTTGAGAAATAATCTAAGTTGGTTGTTTAAAAAGACAAAGGAAAAAAAGAACATAATAGAGTAACACACTTTATTGACAATAGTCTTGAAAACGCGAACACAGTTATAAGAATTAAGAGCAATACATTAAATTTAGCATCTGTTAATAGGCAACTCTGCGCTTGCATCATTTCGTGGAAAATTGTTTGGCGCGTATACCTTGTAACGGAAAAGTTCCAATATTTTAATTAATAGTTATGCTTGAATTATATTTATATGAAACACTGACTGCTTTAAATAATTTTGGAGGCGGCAGGTATCGAAGATCGAACTGTTTATAGAGAAAATTCACAACAGCACTAATGAACCAGGAGGTCTTGTGAAGTGCTAGTCTCATAGCAATTCCAAGTTCTGCTTTAAAATCTTAAATATACTTTTCAGTGCGACAACTAAGCGAACCACTAAAATGTGTATGTATTTTATAACGGCTTTACTTTATTTCATTATTTTTAATGTTTAAATTTATGTAAATTAAATTTTCATGTAAATATATTAATTCAAATATTTGCAAGTTCTGTGTCTGATGCTTAACAGGAAATCTAGCTATTGTAATTGCTTTATAATAATCTAATTTTTAAGAATATTTATTTAGACCGGCGATGAGATGTAATATTCATTAATACTTTTAGATTAATGAAAGATGGTTGTTTACCCAATTGCTAGTTTTATGAACATCTTCATCATTAATGCAATTAATAAAACACATTTCCAAAGCCATATAATAAGCTTCTCGCCTGCGGAGAAATCGTTTGGGAAACTATGTGTGAATCTGATATTTGTTTTTTCTTTCAAAAACCAATAGACTAAATTTGACACCTTAAAATAATTTTTACAACACTAAAAACTTCTTTTTTTATAAGAAACATTCAACATATTGCAAGAGCCCTTTTTTACTGAAACCGAGAAAAAAAATTTTTAGTTGAATTAAAATTAAAATTATTATGTATCCTAAATCTGTCATTTTTCTTTCTCTTGCTTCCGATCATAATTTGTTAGTAACTGAACTTTACTATTAGTTCAAATAATAATAATAGTCATAATAATCTCATCAATATCCTTTTGCCAATGTTATTTGTTTCATAGATGATTCTTCTGTTTTGTTCCATACCATAACTGTAAATTAAAACTTATTATTTCCTTACCATTCATTCGTTGTTAACACATTCAATTGTCTCTCTCTTTCTTCCTTTGAAAATAAACCATTTTATGAATTATTTCTTTGCTTGTAACAAGTTTTATCTCAATCCTCTAATAACTACTTCTAGCTACAAGGGCATCCGCGGGCACAAGATGCAACGAGACAGTTGTCATACATTGTCTACATGCATTTCAACAATTTCTGGTCAACTTAGATATTTTTCAGACTACGGAAGTTGTGGAGTACGAATTGAATCGATTGTGCGAGTAAGTTGTCTTGCATCTAATTTATAAAACGCTGCTCTGTATTGATTATTCATATGACTGCTATCTTTCTAACATTTTTCGTTTATATTTGTGTAATAATGTATTCCATAATAGTTTCATGAATATTGTTATTAAAAATAGAAAAAGGCCTTTCATGAACGAACATGTTCAATTCAGAGGCCGCCTGTGCTGGTGTGCCCTAGCACTATCTAATAAGCGGAATCACCTTTCTAACTTTGTTGCAGCATGAATGACGAATTGAAAAACTTTGCAATAGCTAACTGAAGATTAGCATTTCATGTACGAAGTCATCTACGATGTTGAATGACGTAGGCAAACAGGACTGATAATATAGAGCTTCAAGAGCATTGGTACGGTCAAGACAGCGTATAATAGGCATACGAACTTGCGGTCAAGCTTCGATCACACGATGGTTTTCAAATCGTAAGTGGCTTAAGCCGAGCTTCGTTGCTGGGCAACAAGACCTTGCCACGTCACTAAAATTGCCTTAAAAATTTTATCTAAATGTCCTAATTTTTCAACTTATGCCATTTGGTAAAAGAGCCTATCAATCACAACGAAGCAGACATCGGTCGACGGTTTTGCTCAGTTACACATTTGCGCATGCGCAACTTTTCCGTCCCTTATGGGCTATGACCTAAATCCTGATAATCCTTTCTGATTTTTAAATTGATTTAACCCATAAAATCTTATGACGACAAAACTTCCGTCTGGACGAAACCTAAGGCTATGAACCTACGAAGGGACTGAAGGGACGCTAAGAAATAATTACAGTCGTCGACGGGACTTAAACAGACCAACAGGCCCCTTTCCTATGTGAACCAGCCTTTCGTCAAAGTCTGTCTTTGCAAGGGAAAGTGAGTGAACGAATTAAAAAAAATGTGAGTTGTGAACTAACTATAACGAGAGTAACATTTTGGAGGGGAATGGGGAACAATGTGCTGGCAATGAAGCATTATTACTGTGTGCAAAGAGATCAATTATTCAAGTAAGGAATTCTTTATGTTGCCGAATTTCTGTCAGAGACACAGTAAATTTGTACATAAATAGTACATGTGTATCCGCCTAAATATGTTGATGACAGCATCACTAATGCAAATGTACAGATACTCAATACTAATACAGGTCAGGGTTAAGCAGAAGGGTTAGATCATTCCTTTGTGCGACTCCTCGCCGACACGATCCTCGTAGAGTGGTTAACAGGAAGTAGTCTGACGTCATTTTTGCATCTGTTTAAACTTCGCCTGTTTAAAACTAGCAATGTGGACTTTCCAAATTAATGTTAATCACATATATTGTTTTCTAGTTAAGCTGTGTTAAAGTCAAGCTGGCGGCCCTCGAAGTAATTTAATGCCGCCTGCGAGTACATTTCCCGTAAACTAATTAGCATTATTATGACAAGAATTTGAAGAAAATGTTTAAGATTTTAATGGTCTGGAGTCCAGTTTTAAGTAATATTCATTACCAAAAAACGAACGTAACTTTTCTGATATATATCTTTTTCAAAGATTTTATGATACAAATTTGATTAACTTTTATTAGTACTTGTCAAAAGATAAATAACTTAAGTTTCGAATTTTTTGAATAAGAATACTCGCTTTGTTTTTGAGTACATTTACATAAGAAAAATGTTTTTGTTCGTAGTTGGAAATTAATGAATCTACGAAAAGAAATAGACTGCCGATGAGTATCTACAGTTTGTGATGAAACGTTTTAGCAATTTCCCTCCAAGATTACAAACTTCATGAAAATCGAAACGTCATGAGGTGGTGCAGCTGAAAGGTGTAGTAAAGGACAAAGGTGTTTACAATAATTTACATACAAATATTATGTTTCTGTTTTGTGCCATAGGAAAATCTAATAAATAAAAGAAAGAGAATAGGTTGACATTATTTACTCTCAAGTTTTGTCCCTCTTAGAAATAAATTTTTAGTATATTTCTTTTTCGTTTAAATTAAAAGTAAGTTACTTAATAGTTCAGTATATTACTATTAGATGAATAAACGCCAATTTGAAAATTTTAATATATAGCTGTCTCTGAATTACAGATTGTGACCAACAGAAATTTCTTGCGCGTACCAACTTTTAGATTTCAGGCAAAATATTAGTATAAATTTGATATTTTTCTTTGTGTTATTTTTATTCGTATGTTTTTACAAATACCTAGTAAAAAGTCTGAAATTAATTAAAAAAATTTGTTTTGTTAAAAAAAAATAATCCTGCCCTTTTTTTTTTCTTTCTTTTTTTAGCACAAAGCGGCGTTAGACCCGAAAAACTATTAGTCTCAAAACGGCATATTCCGTCGTTTCGCTTTCTGCGTTGGTTCACTTTTCAAACTGTTGTCACCAAATATTATCGCCATGTATTATATTTAAGGAAATTAAATAATGAAGAATCTGCATGAATGTGTCTCGCTTTGTGAAAAAACAACAGTACCTAGAGCCATCAAATTTTGAATAACGTAGTTCTCTAACCGAACACGGGCACTTGGAAGCCCGAATTTTGAATTTTGAATTTGTTTTATTACCTTTTTCTTTTGTAAAACTTTAACGAATTTTTGATTAACAAAATCAATGATTTCAGAGCAAACAATGGCAATTCTGTACGGAAAAAAACATTTTTATCTCTAGCGCGTGAGACTGTGTATCGGAAGTTCTAAAGATATGCTCTTTTGCAGTTTTTAAATATTTTGTGATATTGCTGTTGAATTGAATTTTATGTGGTTTAAATGCGTAAAACATGATATTTAATAAATAAAGGTAACACATAAAACGTTACAAAAACGCCATTTTAGGCTTAATATAAAATCCGAAAGCTTTCAGATTTTCTTTATATATGTGAGCATTATATATATATATATATATATATAATATATATTTGTAATTGCTGTCCGTCAGCTACTTTCAGATTGTGCAATGTAGGTCTGAGACCACTGTTGTAAAGTATCGTTTATGTAATATGCACTCTTGCGTTGTAGCAAAGTGTCAAAAAATTCATGAAAATGACAAAGATAGTAATATTGTATTTCGTATTTTTCCAAAGAGCAATTTACATTTGGCGAAAAAAAATGCATACATGTGTCAAAGACGGGATTCTATTAATGTTAAGAACGCAAAAATTTGCAGCGAATATTTTATATGCATTGATTGCGAAGATCACATGAAAAACGGCTTGCTTAGATTACCGCAAAAGAAACTACTTATAATCCAATACTGCGTCAAGGAAAGAAAAATAATGCAGGGTTCTTTTGAAAGAGTACGCCAATTAAATTTGAAGAAAATTAATTTTCAGGTGGATTACGAAAATAATAATAGGAATGGTAAATCAAATACGAATGATTTTAAAACAGAACTCACAAATGACGATGTAAATATTGCTGAATGCTTTAACTGTAAAAATAAAAACGAGTGCGTTGATAATTTTTAAAAAACAAAGCTAGCTTAGCATTTTAGCTAATTTATAATCGTATAAAACGTCAAAGTGAATTCGCATAAAAAGATCTTCCTCCTTTGCCCCCCTCTTTTGAAAGATTAAGCAATTCTCTTTAGAAGCTGTGAGCAAAGTTCTTTTGTCAAACTTAAGATAACGATCTTGTATTTATTTAAATGTAATGTGTGTGTATAAGTGTCAGCTAGACAATTATTTTTACAATATATGTTATCATACGGAATTACAATATCTATTCAAATCGAAAGAGAAAAACACCAATGTAAAGTTTATAATTAGGTCAAAAAGGTAATCTTAGATTAGATAAAATTTTGAATAAAACTATTGATTTCATGGGCAGTCAAACATAAGTTCCTCTTCTTAAGATGCAGAAAAAAAATTTACATTTATATTCAAAACGACGCCAAACTAAATTTTTTTTTTTTTTTTTTTTTTTTTTTTTTTTTAGTTTAACTTTAAAAAAGCTGTTATTATAGTTATCTATAGAGTAATAGAATTCTGTCTCTTAGTATGCAGATGAAGAAAAGATAATGAATGCCATAGCTTTTTATTTCCTTGTACGAAGTAAAAAGAAAGTATTGTAATCGCTAAAATTTGTGGGTATCATATTTCAACGAAAATATCCATTTTGACGGCTATGGAATGCAATTTTTTGCATGACATCTGTACGTAAGGGACAGAATAAAGGAATCTTTCCCCCCCCCAAAAAAAATTATAAAACTGATTTAAAATGAATTCTGAAGAGAATTTTTCGTGGCGTCTTTTCGTACGTACGTATCTCGCATAACTCAAAAATGAGTAGCCTCAGACCGTTGAAATTTTGTATGTAGGACTGTTATAACATGTAGATGTGCATCTCGTATTTTATTTGCAATCGGCCGCATAAATATATGTTACTCGACTCAGTGAGCTCAGTTTTTTTATTCTTATATATTTGTAAATTGTGCATTTTTTGCTTTAAAATGATTGAATTATGTTGTTCTGGTTAAGAATTTTATTCCTTTAGTTAATCTGCATGCAATAATTGTGGAATTATCAACAACGGAAAAGTTTTTACCTGGGGCTAAGCCTATTTTTTTATTACCATGGTGGTTATGTTTGTCTACATTTGAAACTTAGCAAAATAGTGGATTTGTTGCCAATCTAGAAAAGCTAAGCTTCGCAACAACAAAGATAACACCTTAATTTATTATTGCGAATTAAATCATGCTCAATCTATTCTGAGATTTATTCGAGGAAATGAATGTTTAAGATTTACTTCGTAATTTTTAATACAGATATTTTGAGCTTTTATGTATTTTTGCCTTGTCGCGAAGTGAGAACTGAATTAATTGAATGAGAAACACTGAAACGTCTGTGAGAAACTGTTGTTTGTTTCTTTAATTTCTTTTATACATCCTTTTAGATTTATTACAGTATTTGAATAAAACATGTGGGAACGGTTAGATAATTCTTCAGATGATATAAATTTTGTGCATTCTGAATTATAAAATGAATGAAATGTAACGCTGTTAAATGAACCTAGCCCCAGA